CTTTAACAGGAGAGAGGAGTTGTCTTCTACTGAGACAAAAAAATGAGACCAGCAATTTAAAAAAAAAAGTAAATCTTGTCTCATATGAAAGAAGAAAAGCATTTCCCAAATTATAATAGCACGAACGGATCCATCATCTCGGTGTTACAGTAAGTGCATGGCACTTTGTATTTATCCCATAGAATCTTGTAGTAATCAGATTGCGACGACCTTTTTCTTTCTCACCGTTTTTCTCTTCCTATATAACCTACGGACCTAGCTTTCGCTTTATTTCTTTTTCTTTCTCTCCATCTTTTCTAAGTTCATTATTAGCTAACAAGGTACCCTCTGTGTGTGTAGTGTGTACATATATAATTCTTATTTACGGAAATTTACAATATACATTTTAGTAGCGCAAAAAAGTGTTTTGTTTAATATTTATGCATTTATTTATGAAAAAATTATAGTTACTACCTCTTTTTCTTACTATCTCTTACTACTAAATTTAAACTGTTGATTTTCGTCAATCTAATAATTATAATTTATTGGGTCATACTTATTAATTAATTATTAATTTCCTATAAATCATAATCGTTAAATTGTCAGAAATCAACAGTTAAGATTTGGTAGTAAGAGATAGTAAGTATAATCTCTCTCTTTATTTATATGGTTTATATGAGAATGCATTCTCTCATGTGAAAAAGTGGTCATGTGATCATGTTATTTGATCACAACCACTCATTGATGATGAGATAAAAAAGAAAAAAATGTATAATTTTTAAATAAGTGATTGTGATCAAATAATATGATCGCATAATCACTTTTCTACGTGAGAAGATCCACTCCCAATTTATATAGGTTTGAGGAGTTAGTTGACAAAATTTAATTACGTATAAACCCAGGCAATACAAAAAAGAAAACAAACCCCAACTTGCATAGCACTCCATGTACAATGTATCATCCAGTTGTTAATTTGGATTTACGCGTGCCCACTCTCATAAATGACAATTATGATACAAACACCTAGGTTACAATTGGGAAGGACGTAGCATTTATAGTATATACAGTTAAACTACCAATCGCTTTGCCATGAATCTAAAGTAAATTGCCAATATGGTAATATGAATATAATATCATTCATGATTAAATGCATCGAACTATTCATCAATTGTTAATCTATTTGGTTTAAGGTGTAAAGATTAGTTCATATGTACAACCAATAGTAAGATTGGTTGTTGCTTCACGTATCTATTTAGTACCTTTGTAAAAAAATATGTGTAAGATTAATGAAGTGTTTTTCAGGAGGGAGGGTGTAGTGACGGAATTTTCGTTATGTATGATCATGTTTCTTAAAATTCAACCATTTATGTATGCATGTGAGTTTATTTTGGTGTTGGAGTAAGAATTTTAAGGAATTGAAAATTAAATATTTAATTTTAGGTAAAGATTGAATTATCATTTTATCTTACATTAGTTAATGAAACTTGATATTTAAAGGGGCGAGGAACTAATCCATACCAATAGTAATATCTCAAATTTGAGAAGCGGACCCAAAAAATATTTGGTATGTATATATATGCTCTAGTGATAGTATAAAATGTACATGCTTGAGTGGACATTTATTTAGCAGGAAAAAAGCGAGAAGAGTGAGATACTAATCTCACACAAGATATATCTATAGTATGAAATATCTATCTTCCTACTATTAAAAGTATAAAATAAAGGGAAATAATAATCTTATGTTACATAAGATTGTTATCTTATGCATAAGACACAAAGTAAACATGGGACCTATTTTAATTTTTTTTTCTCTTCTTTATTCTCTCTCCTCTCTCTTCTCTATGTGTGTGTAGGAGATAGCTCTTCTCCTATGCAACATGAGAAAAGACAATCCCTAAAATAAAAGATTGCTTAAAGATTGCAGAATTATAATGTATTATTATTTTTATTAAAATAGTGACAATCATAATTTATATATGGGAAAACATTTTCTCATGTTGCATGAGAATTCAATTTTCATGTTGTGACTCTTCGATTTGCGTGCAAAACTTTTCTTTTCTTTTTTCTTTTTAATATATGTGGGGCCCACCATTAGTTATATCATTACATGAGAATTGAATTCTCATGCAACATGAGAAAATCAAATCCCTTTATATATAATTACATTTTTTTTGGATGGATATGTAACTACCTAGCTTGTACGCATAAGTTGAACAACATTGTGTAAAAGAGCATTTTTTTTTTTTTTTTTTTTTTGGTAAAGGTGTAAAAGAGCATTAATTAAGGTACATCAAATAATATCTCAAATAAATGGATATGGGTTGACTTAAGTCCTGAATTCCTGATGGTTATTTTGCCAATATAGGACACATGACACAACATATCCAAGTTGCCAAGTTGGTTTGCGGTGACACAAGTCCACCACACATGTCCCCCTTGTAGCGTTCAAAACGAAGTGATGTGCAAAACTCAGTACGAAAAAATCGACAAATTTTAAAAGTCCAATCAGGAGTGACATCAATCTTGTGATACGATTAGGCCATACAACCATTTATTTCCTCGTCTACGCCACCCACATGAATTATTGATTTTATAAAAATAAAATAAAATAATACTTACTGGGTTTTCACAGTTCTTAGTTTTTGGATACAAGTACAAGGTTAATCTTGGATTATATTTTTCTTTTGGATTCGTTATGGATATAAATTCTTTAATCTTAAACTCAAAATCACATACCGCTTTTAGTAATTATCTATATAAATTATTTTATCATGTGTTTAAAAAGCTTTTCAGGCACTTGTTCATGTCTACTTTAAAAATCAGGTTGATTTTCACTTACGAAAAAAAAAAATTTGACATTGTTTTCGATCTCAGTAGATGTTATGCTTTAAGTTTAAGCTACATTTTTTAAATGCTAAATGGACTACAAAAACATGCATTTTTTTTTTTATCATAAGTGAACATGCATGCTGAAATATCAAAATCTATAAATCTACTGATCAATAAATTTCTCATAGTTTGTTATATGAAGTTTGTAGGCTTAACAATTTAATTTTGATGTAGTTACTGTAGAATTATATTATAACTTAATCACCTGAACATACTAATCACAATAAGAAGCTAATTTTTTTTTAAAATAAAATAACTGGATGATATATAACTAATAATTTTATACTAACATGAGATCAAGATTAAACTCTTAACTTAAATAAGAATTAATACAAGATAAACTATGTATGGGAAAAAAAATACAAGATATAAACTAGTAAAAATTATGAATTAAACTTTTAAATTTAATTCATATGTCCCACTCCCAGTCATATACCACCGCCAACGTTCATATTTTGGTGGACCCATAGGCAACATCACGTGTAGTTTCTTTTATAAATTTTCTGATATTGATTAGTATTTATAATAGTTTACGTTTCCGCATGAAATGATATTAAATAATGCTTGCATTTCTTAGAAGAGGATTCCAGTTCAATCTTTAGAGAGAGCTTTATTTATTGCGCTTTTTTGCTTTCTAAGAAAATGTAGTCCAGAATAAGTCATATTCATATGTAATAAAATGTATTTTGACTGTCCGTAATTCTTTTGTAATTTTTGTACCCGAAAAAAATATACATTATCCTGACTTTATAAATTTAACTTTGGCAAGAAGCTAGTGTATTCAATAAAGTATTTTTAAAAATAAATAAATAATAACACAGGTAGAATTTTATATTCATCTTTAAACTCAGGAAATATTTCCAGTCATCTACCTCTGATTTTCATAATACGGTCTCGGAGCTAACTCCTCCTTAAAAAAATTCCTCCTTAAAATAGGGAGTGTATTCTGAAAATAAAATGAGACTAATCCCTAATGATATTTAATGCACAAGTGTTTAAATAATTTAAATTTATACAAATACTTACTCCATTAATTTCTTTCATGTTTTTAATTTTTTTTTGCTCTTTTATCCAAACATAATTATTTATGATGTTTATTTCAAATACCTAAAAATTAATATATTATTGTCTTTTGAATGTAAACAGGGCTATTTGACCATTTTGTCCCTCATTAATTAATTAATGATCATTTTGCCCCTGATTCGAAACTATCTACCAATCTGCCCCTCTTTAATCGACTAACTTGAATTTTTAATCGACTAAATGGTTGTTGGGAGATTTAGTCGACTAAATATGGAGATTTAGTCGACTAAATCTCCCAGAAACTATTTTTACCTGTTTTGACCATTTAATCTACTAAACATGCAAGGTAGTCGATTAAAAAGGAACAGATTGATAGATAGTTTTGAATCAGGGATAAAATAATTATTAATTAATTAATAAGAGACAAAATGGTGAAAAAGTCATGTAAACATGTATATATAACAACATCGACATCATTTTTATTTTAAAATAATTAGGATCGATGATATTTGAATTTAAATAAAAACCTAGAAAATAAAATAATAAAATAATAAACAGACAATATAGTAAACCGAGAAAAATTAGGTAGTAACATAGAACAAGATTGGTGATAATCACAGAAAAGGCAGAAAAATGTTAATAATACCAATGGAGTTACACAGGAACAGAAAGAGGGTAATAGCTAGGCTAGGCGTATACGTCGTCTTGAAGTGGGTGAGCGATGTAGGTGACGCAGTAAATGACGTACATCTACATCGATGAATCATAAAAAAAAAACAAAGGAATTAACAAATGGACGTGAATAACAAATCCAACCCTCACCCCTTTGTCCCAATCCACACGCTTTCATCTCTAGATAGTAGAAGCCCAGTATAAACTTAAAAAAAAATAATCGTTTCCACTTCCTATCACTCCTAATTTGTTAACTTGTAAATTAAGAATTGTCGGGCAAACTTGGTTAACAAGAACGAATCGTATAGAGCAAGTTAATAAACAAAACATACTAATTTAAAAAATATGTAGCAGTTACATCGTAGGAAGATTTTAAATGTTTTATTAACTGAATGTACGCAAAATTGCTCGGTGAGATGTAAAGCACAAAAGGAAAGTAACGCACAATCACCAATGTCGATTCTCACCTACACTCTACAGAATGAAACCAACGATACCACCTCCACCAAACCAAACCATTCCAAAACAAACCAAACAATGTTTATGTTTTTCAACAGATAATAAAACACACAAGAGGGTTACACTTGAATCGAAACTGTTAATTTGAACACGTTAACAATACATAGTGGTTCCTTCACTCACTTATCTTAATAAAAAGCAGTTTCTCTCTCTCTCTCTCTCTTCTCTCTCTCTCCTCCACCTCTTTCGTCGTTTCTTCACCTTACAAATAACACACAAACACGCACTCATTACTCTGCTATTGTTGTTTAGAATGCCGGCTTGGTGGAGTAGAAAGTCGAGTAAGAACAAGCAAGAGCATGAGGATAAGGAAGAAGAAGAAGAAGAGCCACGTGGCGGCCTTCAATTTAATTTCATGAAATCTCCAATTACCATTAAGAACGGCGATAAGAAGAAGAAGAAGAAGAACAGCTTCGACGAGCTCTTCAATCGGAATTCGCCCAGGACCAGCAATGATTTCAATGGTGGCGGCGCCGCCGAGAAGAAAGACCTTCCCTTGCCTCTCCCCGCCGATCATGCCGTCGGATCTCCTTCTATCTCCGGTTCTAGCTTCAGCTCCTCTGTCTCCTACGACGATCATCCAATCTCTCCTCAATTTAATGCCAACAGGTTCCACCCTTCACATTTTTCCTTCCAGTTTATTAATTTTTTAATTTATTCTTCATTTTTCGAGACCCCCATCTTGTACGTACTTGTGGCATAGGTTGGGGGTAATCGTTGAGACTTCAATTGCTTAATTGTTTCAGTTATGGATCAATTTTTTTTATTTTTTTTTAATAAATATTTTCCCCCTTATGTTAACCGGCTTCGTAATTGGGGTTAGAGGATTGTTTCTGTTGTGTCTTGTTAGTGTGAATTATGACTGACAATTTATTTATACTTTGACGAGTCTCTTAGGATAATTGGACATTTGGGGGTTCTTCCTTCTGTTAATTTGGTGTTAAAGGCCTAAATTAGCAGTTCTAGACATCCTGTATGGACTTATCTGGGGAAATTAAAGATGTTAATTTTGATGGACAAATTTGTTAATACGTAGGAAGTTAAGTACCTCCTGCTATTCTTATCCTCCCCAATCCGGCTTCAGGCTTCTTGCACATTCCAATTGTTTTAGATGACATTTATGCAGCAATATATGTCTGTGTCACTGTTTTTAATGAATTGTCACAATGAATTAAAGCGTATATGCCCTCACTCAATTTTGGAAATTATAATCTACACACTTCTTTTAGCACTGACTGTATAAGGGACACAAAGAACGTGGAATGTTAAGTGTGATTCTCCAATCTACTGTTATACTAATCCATGCCATTTGTTTATGCAGAGGACAAGATGATATAAAGTTCAATGTGAGGTCAAAAAGCCCAGGTCCTGGGTCAAGAGGACCCACCAGCCCTACATCACCTCTTCATCCAAGATTGCATGTTTTGAGTCTTGACTCACCTACAGGAAAGCAAGAAGATGGAAGGAGTCAGTGCCATCCATTGCCTCTTCCACCAGGTTCTCCTACTAGTCCTTCTGCTCTTTCCAACACACGAGCAAATGGACAGTTAGAAAACATTTCCAGTAATCTGTCCAAGTGGAAGAAAGGGAAGCTTCTAGGACGGGGAACTTTTGGGCATGTTTATCTGGGATTCAATAGGTAATTTTCATTATTTTTATTGGTACGATTTTTTCAATCTTCCAGTGAAGAAAACTTACTATCAGTACTCTTATGGGGTAACCTGAAACAGCTTTTTACCATATATAATTTTCACTCCTTGAATATCGTAAGGCAGAATTTGTGGTTTCTACTTTCTGCTGTCTCGTGGTTATAATTTATAATGTTTGACCAAATCTTTAGGTTAAGAATTAAATATTACAATGGCAGTTGATATTGGCAATGTCCATATTGTGGACTAATTACTGAAATCATTTATATTCTGCTTCCTATGTTTCATAGTGAAAACGGACAAATGTGTGCAATAAAAGAAGTCAGGGTTGTCTCTGATGATCAAACATCAAAAGAGTGCCTCAAACAACTTAACCAGGTAATTATAGTATTTTTATTAAGATTTAAATGTAATGTTTTAACACATAATATTGTACTTTTGCTGTTCTTTGCACAGTTGCATTGGAGTTTGCTTTAATATGTCCAATTTCATTTTATATTCCATAAGGTTATAACACGTTCTCCATTTGATTACAGGAGATAAATTTGCTTAGTCATTTTTCACATCCAAACATTGTTCAATACTATGGGAGTGAACTGGTATGCTAGAATGTTCAAAGTTTAGAATTGTTAAAGCCATGTATATCTCTAATATAGCCGTGTATACAAGAGAAATTGAAGAATTGCCATAGTCACGTGTATACCTAATGTATATGCCATGTTTTCAGGTAGAAGAATCACTTTCTGTTTATTTGGAATATGTCTCTGGCGGTTCTATCCATAAATTGCTTCAAGAATATGGTTCATTTAAGGAGCCTGTTATTCAAAATTATACCAGGCAGATTGTCTCTGGACTTGCCTATCTGCATGGAAGAAATACAGTACACAGGTAATTTGGTTATTGCTACTCAATTGATAACATGGGATTTAAGCTTCTTTATTCTCTTTCAAATTGTTATCGTGTTTTTCTTTTGGCAGGGATATCAAAGGGGCTAACATACTAGTTGATCCTAATGGTGAAATCAAGCTGGCAGATTTTGGAATGGCTAAACATGTAAGTTCATATTCTGTAAACAACAACTTGCTTCTATTTCACTTCAAAAGTAAATAATATGTTTCTGGTATGGAAAAATAATTAAACAACAGGTGATGTAAAATTAGTTGAGAGTGATCTCTTAAAAGTACTCATCTTGCTCAAGGTTAGAGGTTGCAATTCTACTGATTCCGAGTGGCACTGACATCTCCTCCTCTCTGTTGGATGCACATACTCCCTCTCTCACATTTGTGCACCCCCACACAGAGCATGAGAGCAAGCACACTTATGACTCTCCACATGCAGGATGCTTTACACTGACACACACACACAAACTCTCTCTTTTCAGTGTTTTATATTTTAGAATAAGATTTTACGGGTATGAATAAAATGTAATCTAGAGAGCTTAAAAAAAATCAATTTCCTATTTTGATTGAGTTCTGATTTATGATGATTTGTCTCTGAGATTTTATTGTTCTGAACCAGATAAATTCTTCTGCCTCAATGCTTTCATTCAAAGGAAGTCCATACTGGATGGCACCTGAGGTAAAAAAAATTTCCCATTCTTCTTGGATCTTGAAATTCCTCTTAAAGCACATTCTTTCCTCCTCTTCTCTCTCACCATAACTACTATATCCTGATGTTCTCTTTCTTAGGTTGTAATGAATGCAAACGGCTATAGCCTTCCAGTTGATATATGGAGCTTGGGATGCACAATTCTTGAAATGGCAACATCTAAGCCTCCATGGAGTCAGTATGAAGGGGTGAGATATTTCAGAACTAGCCTTCACTTGTATGATCCTGTTTGATGAGTACGATGGACCAAAATTGTTTTTATGTGGGATTGAACAGGTAGCTGCCATATTTAAAATTGGGAACAGTAAAGACATGCCTGAAATCCCCGAGCATCTTTCAAATGATGCAAAGAATTTCATTAAGCTATGCTTAAATAGGGACCCATTAGCTCGCCCAACAGCCCTAAAGTTACTAGACCATCCCTTCATTCGAGATCAATCAGCAACAAAAGCTGCAAATGTGAGCATAACCAGAGATGCTTTCCCTTACATGTTTGATGGAAGCAGGACTCCGGTATAGTATTTGATGTTTATTTATTATATTTGAAAAGTTAATGTTACTTTACTTCTTACATGCTAGTTCCAACTCACGGTTACATAATCATTGTAAACCATTTTCCGTTCTCATAAAATTAACATGTTGCAATTGGCTTGAAGTTTGGATGACTGTTATCGAGTACTTGATAACATATATAATGATGATATTCAATTATTTAATACCAACAAACTTTATCATTATCTATAAGCCAATGCACTGTAATGCCATGTCAGGATATTATCTAATGGCTTGTTAATATTTTTGTTGTTGTGTATGTAGATGCATTATGTAGCCCATCTCATGTATAGTATTATTGAACTACAAAATAGCTGAATATAAAGACGATGTTATATATGAATCCCTAGCGGAGAATCAAGTGTGATTTGTTGTTTGGTTGTAACTATAGAGTGAGGTGTTATAGACAAATACTACATCGCAGTTAGAAAAAAGAGGTCATTGTCTATCACATATATGGATTGATAGTTGCGTTTCTTTATAACTTAGTAGGCTACATACAATTTCAAGTTGCACTGTTTTTGAAGATCTTTTTCCATTTGTTAGAGAATAATATAAACCATTAAAAATAACCTCATCCAATATCTTAAGATTTTGGGTTGAAGTGGTTCTTTACACCATTGCCAACGTTGGCGGGAATTATCTTTCTCAGTGTTTGTATCTATTTGCAGCCTGTTTTTGAGCTTCATTCCAATCGAACAAGTATAACTTCACTTGATGGAGATTATGCAACAAAGCCAGCTCTTGCAGCTCCACGTACATCAAGGAGTCCAAGGTAAAATATCCACCTGTGAATTATAATTAAGGCATGGGATTTACATCTCGACATATTCTTCATCATTGTTATGTTATTTGGATTTTGGACTGACTTTCTTTTGTAATTCCTTTGTTCAGAGATAACTCAAGAATGATCACATCTTTACCAGTATCTCCCTCTTCAAGTCCATTGCGACATTATGGGCCAGCACATCAGAGCTGTTTCTTTTCTCCTCCTCATCCAAGTTACACAATAATGGGACAAAATAGTTACACTCCAGTGAGATCAAATGCTACATTCACTCTTGATCCTTGGCATGAATCATCTCTATACAAAGCCCATACACCACCTGGTGGATCTCCAAGAATGAGATTCATTTGAGTTGTGATTGTAAATAACAATAGAACTAAAATACTTCTAGGTTCTGGTCTATCCTTTATACATGATATAACCTGACAACAGAAGAAATGACGGGCCCTAAAGCTCCCAATGCATTGGACTGTAGAGACCTTGCTGCTTGTAGTAACGTGTGTCTGTAGTAACGTTTATGTTGTATATTGCTAGTTCATGGTAGAAGAAAAAAAGAGTAATTTTTCATACCCACTCTTTTCATTTTAAATTAGAAATTCTATTTGAGATTCGATACGTGTATGGTTTGGTCCCAATCCCAAGCCATCACCACGAGAGCATGAACGATTGGCTTGATAGAGCCAGTGTACCGAGTGTCCAAAATATTTTGGAGCATTTTGTGGTTTAAATTTAAATTATTTTAAGCTAATGTTATTTTAATTGTACTGCTATATGTAGAATTTATTGATCATTCATAAAGTTCATAGAAAAACCGAAGAAACAATTGTTAAATTTATGTGGTGTGGATGAGTACCCTTGTATTGACTTGTCGAATTTTCTAGCTTACCTATAATTTATGGCAAAATATATTCTTATTTGTAGGAGAATATTTTTTTCTCCTATACATACATCAATTTTTGTATTTCTTTTTCTTTTTTATAAATGGGTGAGTTCCATACATAATTATTTCTATAGTATGAAAGAATTTATCTCTTATTGCATGAGATTAATAAAGCCCACAATTTATACGTTTTACATAGTAAAATATCGTGTTGTACTTTCTAATTTCTATCCCAAATAAAAAAAGATGCTGTCCGCAGAGAAAAGGATAGAAAATAAATCATTTGTTATCAAAACATATTTATAGAATATCTACAGATAGTTTCAGATTAAAAAAAGACCATAGATGATTTTTTAAATCCAAGTCTGCCATTAGGGGTCTTCAAAGCCGGAAAAAGGCATGGACAAAAAGCAAGTTATTGGTTTGTTCTCTATTCAATTTTACTTGATATATTTTTATTTAAATTATAAAAATATTTCATTAATATTTATTTTATTTCTTAATTTTAAAATTTTGTGAAAAAAATGATGAAAAATATTATTATAGGTTGATTGAATCTAATCAAAACAAAGTATCATAAAATTACTTTTTAATTAGAATTTATAGTCCATTTGTTAATAAAAAACACTTTTTAAATAAAAACCATATCTAAATATTTTAAAATAAATTGGTCAAGTGTTTTTTTAAAATAATTTAGTATTTTTTCTTAAGAAATCACAGAAAGTAGCTTCAGGAATAAATTTCAACAACATTTATATAGTATTTTTTAAAAAATTATCCAAATGCACCCTTAATACAAAACATTTATATACGTACAATCATGAAACCTTATCCAATGAGTGTGATTACCTTAATAATCATGCAAGACATCAAATTTATTAATAAATATAGCAATTTATAATTTGACGTTAGTATAATTTTTTTTTTACAATATCCGTATATCAAAATAAATTCTTTGGAATAAAATATTCAATCATAAAACTGAAATCATCTTAATCATTTTTAAGGAAAATTAATTATGGGCTTTATATTTTTCCGGCTTGTTTCCTGAGAGAAGTATATTTGGGCCCCACCAGTTTTTCTTTTTGTTAAAAAGTTGGGCACTTTTTTTTTTTTAGTACATATAAGGGGCATAGCCCCAGAACAAGAAAACAAAAACTAAAACAAGAAACTAACCGAACAACTTAACAAAAAACAGACAGAAATCATAAAAGACTAATTAACCAGGATCTAACTTATCGGCCTCCAGAAGATCAGCCAGATCCGGATGAGGAGAGGAGATAAGCTTTAGACCATACTCATCATCAACAACCTTTTTAGCTAACCAATCAACACACTTGTTGATATTTCTAGAGATATGAGATAAAACCACACTTCAATCTCTTTGAAGACACACTCGAATCTTAGCCACCAAAGGTAACTTTCGAGTATCCTTACTATCACTAGTAAGTAAGCTAATAGCTTGTAAAGAGTCAGATTCAACTATAATATTTCTGCAACCAAGATTCCAAGAGACTTCCAATCCATGGAGAATAGCCCACAACTCAGCATTTAAAGATGAACAAGATCCCAAAAAGAAAGAAAAGCCACCAGCCCAGCAGCCATTACTGTCTCTTAAAATGCCACCACAAGCTGATCTCTCTCCCACCACTGCTCCATCTACATTGAGTTTTAAAACTCCTTCCATTGGCCGAGACCAAATTGACAAACTGGGCAGAGGTTCATTAAGCTTAGCTTTTCTATTACTTGTACTACTCAAGTTGTTTTTTTCCTCCAAAAGGCTAACAAGGAAACTGGTAAGATCAACAGGTCTAACAAAATTCTCCTCATGTATCTCTTTATTCCTCCAGATCCAAAGGAAATAGCAGATGATGAAAAATGGATCTCTCCAATCAAAGGAACAAACCTTGTGCTGATTCAAGTTTAGAACCATCCAGTCTTTAATCTCCATATCATTGAAAAAGCCAGTTGGCAGGGGCTGCACAATGGGCAAAAACCAAAATTGTTTAGCTTTAGTACAGTCTCTCACCACATGAAGGCATGTCTCCACTTTATCTGGACAAGTGATACATCTGTCAGAGCTATTCCCCCATTTTGCAGTTCTTTCTTTAGTTAACAGACGACCATGATTCAATTTCCAAATAAAGAATTTGATTCTTTCTTGCCCATTCCAATTCCAGATTCTACTCCAAGTACCACTCTTGTTATTTTGGGGGAAGTCCATCAATCTGTTATAAGCCAATTTCATAAGAGAATGACTAGGATTCCAATCCTTCCAAGATAAACAGTCAGACTCCTCTTCTACCTTCGGATTGGGGATAGCAAGAATAATATTGCAAATCTTTGGATTGAAAAAATTGCTCATGTACTCTAAATTCCAGCCTTCTGAAGAAGTAAAAGTACTATGAGCAATTTTGAGCTCTAATTCAGAAGCATCAGGAGTTGTATTGGCATAGAATAAGAGGGTGTGTTCAAGACCAGTCCACTTATCAAGCCAAAAATGAATTTTCTGGCCATTTCTAATCTGCCATACAAAATTCTCCAGAGCAACAGACCAGACTTTACAAAGCCCTCTCCAAAAATGGGAATCATATGGTTTAGCACAAACCTCTTTAGCAATTTCTATCTTTCTGCCATATTTCGCAAATATAACTTGAGCCCAGAGTTGGGAGGGAGCATTAATCATAGACCATATACTCTTATGCAGAAAAGCTTCATTTTGTTTTTTCAGGTTGATTATCCCCACACCCCCTATCTCCTTTGGCAGATAAAGATGCTCCCAAGCAAGCAAATGATGACTTATATGGTTGGCTGTATCTCCCCAAATAAAACTTCTTTGAATCTTCTCAATGTCATTACAAAGAGCCACCGAAAGAAGGCTATTCTGCATATTGAACATAGGAATTGAAGAAATTACAGATTTAGCTACGATAACACGACTAGCCATAGATAAACACTGTTTCTTCCAGCCACTAAGTCTGCTATGTACTCTTTCCATGATATCACTATAGTGAATCTTACTAACTCTACCATGCTTCATCATGTAGCCAAGATATCTTCCAATATTTTTTGTTCTAGCAAAGCCATTCTTCTCAACTATCTCATTAGCCAGCTCATTAGAAGCATTTTTAGAAAAAAATATATTGGATTTTGCCAGACTCACCTTTTGACCAGATTCCTCACCAAATGAATTTAAACAATTCATAACAGTATCTATTTGATTGGTAGTTGCTTCTGCAAACAGCAGCAAATCATCAGCAAAGAGAAGGAGTGAGATGATAGGACCCTTTTTCCCTGCTGTCATAGGCTTCCACTTTCTTCTCTCCACTGCATCAGCTATAATATGAGACAGTTTCTCCATTCAAAGAACAAAAATATAAGGGGATGTAGGGTCCCCTTGTCTTAATCATCTGCTAGGTGAGAAAGAACATGCCTTAGACCCATTCCAAAGAATCTCCAACTAAGTAGTAGAAATGCTACACATGATTAAATTAATGATAGCTTCAAGCAGCTTAATTTCTTCCAGGACTTTATGGATGAAACTCCAAGAAATTCGGTCATAAGCATTCTCTAAATCAATTTTTGTAGCAAAAAAACCCCTTTTACCTCTCATCCTACTCATAGAGTGTATCATCTCCTGAGCAATAACAATGTTGTCTTGAATCTGCCTGTTGGGGACAAAACTAACTTGGTAAGAAGAGATAATTTTTTGTAGGAGAGGTTTTAGATAATTCACAATTAACTTGCTAATGCCTTTGTACATAACTGAACACAAAGTAATGGGTCTAAATTGAGAAATTATCTCCGGTTTATTGATCTTAGGAATCAACACCAAAAAAGTTTTATTAAGCTCCTTGATTTTTTCTGGGTTATTCCAACAGGCTCTCACACACTCACAGACTTGCTTACCCACTACTTGCCAATTTTTTTGGAAGAACAGTGCTGGGAAGCCATCAGGTCTAGGTGCTTTTAGAGCACCCATAGAAAAGAAAGTTTTTTTTAATCTTTGCATCAGAAATGCACCTCTTCAGACCTTCAAGATCACAGCTTTCCAAATCTGGCCAGCTATTCTTAGTGGAAATCCAAGGTCTGTCAGTACACTATTCTGAGTACAGCTTCACAAAAATGATAGAATTATGTTGAGAAGATTAGCTTCCTCTCTCACAAAGTGCCTGTTGTGCAATTGTGTACCCCTTTATCAATCACACATTACGCAAGTGCACATGTCAACAAGTAATAAAATGGATGTGTGAGTCCAGATATCGTTCCCACGAAGAAAACTATAAAGTTGGGATCAATGTGAAGCAATCAAGGTAACAAAGATAATTTGGAAGAGGTTAATGACTAATTAAACAATAAAACTAATAATTAACTAAAAGAATGCAGTAATAAAATAGGTTTTCCAAGTATTAAAGATAGACTGGGATCAATTTCCCCATTATTGTAACTTCACCAGAATGCAGTAACCATGCTACAACAATTATCCATTTAGTACCAAAACACTAATGCATGCAAGGGCTCTCACCAACTCTACATATATACTAAGTCCCACATCTCTATGGCCAACATAGTTATGAATCATTAAGTGCAAGTTCCATTTGATTTTGTGGTGTGAATGATCTCTCTACCCACAATTAACTAATTAAATTAGTTAAACCACAATGCTTAATAACTTTCTGAGTTCACCTATATCTCTATAGCCCAAACCCTAATTATCTTACAGCTCTCTCTCGATAAGTCAACAAGAATAAAAATAAGCACTTTATTAAGCAACTGAAAGGAAAATCATGTAACAAAGTTAAAGCAATACTGACTACATCACAATAAGGGTGCTCTATCACCCAATCATAACAATTTAGCCCATACTTGGGTGGGAAGAAACAACAAAGAAAGAATAAGATTCCATTAAACTAAAGTAAAGAAAACAGGGACGTTGCTGTAGCACTGCTCCCGCAGCTACCGTAGGCTCCACCATCATCAACCTTGCTTCAGCCGCCGGAATAGTGCAGGGATCCACCGGATTTGATGATCTCTCTACCAAACCCTAGCCTCACCCTTTGATTCCTTGAATCTCTCTCAACGAACCCTCAAATTCTCTCTATGTGTTTCCCCTTCTTTCTCTCTCTAGGATCTGATTGAATGTCTAAAGGATGTGTAGCGTTCCTAGCCTTGACTGGAGGGAAGAATTTGACTAAAAACTTTTCAGCCAAATCTTCCCATCTTCTGATTGAATTAGGGGCTAGAGTGCTCAACCAAGTCTTAGCCCTGTTGGCTAATGAATAAGGAAATAGCTTCAACTTAATTGCATCAGTTGTGACTCCTTGGATTTTGAAGCTATCTGCCACGTCCATGAAATTCTTCAAGTGCAGATGTGGATCTTCACTTGACATTCCATTGTACTGGCCAATTGTCTGCAGCATGCTGAACATCACGGGTTTCAGCTCAAAGTTTGCTGCTGCAACCTCAGGTTGCACAATCCCCGAATGGAGATTGTTGAGTGTGGGGACTCCATGTGATCTGATCGGTGTCTCATCTCTTTCATCCCCATTCACAGATCCTTCTACTTCCATGTCTGCAGTTTTAGGTATTGCTACAGCTCTGTTCTGTCTCTGCCTCCTTCTTGCTCGAAAGGTTCTTTCAATCTCTGGATCAAATGCAACTTCTGCTTGATTAGGAGGTCTATTCATAAACTAGCTGAGGTACCTAATGGGACAGACAGAAGATAGGATTTTAAATATCACTTCACAAAAAGAAAATAGCTTTATAATAATCCCCGGCAACGACGCCAAAAACTTGTTGTGCAATTTCGTAATCAATTAAGAGCCTGTTTGGATCCTCTTATTTTTAAGCTAGAAGCTACTTATAAGCTAAAGCTAAAAAAAAGAGCTTAAAAAAAGAAGTTAAAAGCTGTTTGGAAATTACATGAAAATTTTAGCTTAAAATTTACTCAAAAGCACATATTTCAAGAAAATTATCTCTCTCTATCTTTATCACTCTTCATTTAAAAAAAAGCACACAATTCAAGAAAAACAGATAAGAGCTTAAAAAAAGCTCCTCCTAGGAGCTTTTAATTTTCAGCTTTTTTCTTCATTATAGAAAAAAGAGCTTTTTATTATAAGAGCTTTTCTCAAAACCTGTTTGGCCTAACTTATGCTTATAAGTAGCTTCTAGCTTAAAAAAGAGAGGATCCAAACAGGCACTAAATCACACAAAAACGCAAGTGCACGTATCAACAAGTAATAGAGTGGATGTGTGAGTTCAGATATCGTTCCCACATAGATTATATAATGCTATAGCTTTCGTGAAGCAATCAAGGTAACAAATATGGTTTGTTGAGAAACTAAAAACTAATTTAACACTTAAAAAGCAAAGCAAAGTAAACTAAGGCTACTCATTAACTCAGCAAAAATTCAGTATCAAAAGAAGTGTTTCAAATGTATCAAGACATATTGGGATCAATTTCCCCATTATTGTAATGTCACCAGAATGCAGTAACCATGCTACAACAATTAACCAAACAGCAATCAGAACACCAATGCATGCAAGGGCTCTCACAATCAATACATGTATACTAAGTCCCACATCTCTATGGCCAACATAGTTATGAATCATTAAGTGCAAGTTCCATTTGATTTTGTGGTGTGAATGATCTCTCTACCCACAATTAACTAATTAAATTAGTTAAACCACAATGCTTAATAACTTTCTGAGTTCACCTATATCTCTATAGCCCAAACCCTAATTATCTTGCAGCTTTCTCTCGATAAGTCAACAAGAATAAAAATAAGCACTTTATTAAGCAACTGAAAGGAAAATCATGTAACAAAGTTAAAGCAATACTGACTACATTACAATAAGGGTACTCTATCACCCAATCCTAACAAATTAGCCCATAATAGGGTGAACAGAAACAACAAGGGAAGAATAAGACTCCATAGATCTAAAGTAAAGAAAACAGGGACGATGTTGTAGCACTGCTATCGCAGCAACCATGAGCTCCACCACCATCAACCTTGCCTCAGCCGCCGGAATAGTGCAGCAAGTTGCTGGGTTCAATGATCTCTCAATTGAACTTTAGCTTCCTCCTTTGATCCGCGAGATTTCTCCCAACGAACCCTCAAATTCCTCCCAAGTGTTTCATCCACTTTCTCTCTCTAACTCTGTCTACAATTGGGTGTCTCAAAACATATCAGTCGTCCGTTCTTTGTGTAGAGTTCGTTCCTTTATAGCTCTGACATTCTGGGCTTCAATCATCTCTTCCAGTCCATGCAAATCATCACTCAAAGCTGTCTTGTGATTGATTGAGATTGACACTATATTTTGTTGTCAAGCTGACAGCATGTGCTATGGCATATCTCACAGGATTCTTTCCATATTTACAATTCAGTTTTGAATCCAATCTGTAATCTTTGATTTGATGAAGATAATCTTGTGATTTATTGATGATGTTGAGTGCGTATCGAAATCAGATCTTTTCGTACACGTTCAGAAGCTTCATCAACCAAATTGGGCTTGGATCCATGGTTTGCTGGTGCTGATGTCAACAGTATGTACTGCTGACCTCATCTCCATTGCTACAACACTGCTTCCTGATGCTAAAGCATCGACCTGCAGTAAAATAACAAGTGCATTCAAATGTTTCTAAAACACCAATTTATGCCCAAATTCTCATAATTAACATAATTCTCCATTAAACCATGAAATCACAGAATTCATGCATTAATCATATAAAATCAAGAGAATAACATGCAATCATAGTACTCAAAACATCACATTTAAGCCTAGAATAACTTTCTTTTGGAGAGTTATCAATGCCCCTCATCATTTTTCAACTCCAGGATTTTATTTTTAGCTCTCCTGATGATTGTAGTAGTGTGATAAAAGGAAGTATTTCGATCACCATCCTTTATCCACTTACATCTAGCCTTTTGAAACCATAAGGATTCTTCTTGTTCAAGGACCTCATTCAATTCTTTTTGGATAGCTACTTCCAATACAACATTAGCATCATCCAAATTAAGGAGACTTTCCAACTGAGTTTCATGGAGTTTTTTCAGCAAGAAATCCTTCCTAATCTGGATGCATCCAAAAACCCTTATGTTCCAGGATTTCAACTGATCCACTAAGTTAGCTAAGCTATGAACAATAGTCAAATCCGAACACCAGACATCCTGCAGAAAATGAAGGAAAGAGGAATGATCCTGCCAAGCTGCAAGGAAACGAAAAGGCCTACTTTTCCAATTAACCACTGAAGGAAAAAGAGACAGCAAAAACGGGTTGTGGTCAGAGTTCAGCCTGGGTAATGTTCTGACAAAAGCATCAGCAAAACTAGTTCTCCAATCCGCATTAGCACACACTCTATCCAGCCTTTTAAAAACTCTATTTAGATGAAGCCATTTAGGACCTCTCCATGTAAATCTTGACCCTCTACAACAAATATCCAGAACCTTACTTTCATTCAAAACAGCATAAAACTTCAAAGTTCTAGCCAGATTGAAAGGGGCACCACCTTTTTTCTCCTTTAGTGATGCAATTTCATTAAAATCCCCCATCATCATCCAGGGACCCATCACAGAACCTCCAATTCTAATCAGATCCAACCACAAAGCTTCTCTACCTTCCTCCTTAAGACAAGCATAAACAACATTCAACAGAAAAGAAGGCCCAGTACTAAGATAGCAATTCACATGAATAAACTGGTTAGTTTTTTCTACGAGAGAAATAGAGCATAATTCTTTTTTCCATAATAACCAAATTCCACCAAAGAACCCAACAGCTTCCTCTATCACAACATTCTTAAATCCAATCTGTTTTTTTTTTTTTTGAGCCAAAACACCACTAATTCTTGGTTCCAAAATGGCAACCAAACCAACCTTATATTTTCTAATAAAATTGCAGAGGGTTATTTTGAACTGTTTCATAGCAGCCCCCCTACAATTCCAAACAAGACAATTCATTGAGAAACCATGTTGTCACCAGGATTACTGAGTTCCTGGTTACTCTCCATCATATGATCAGAACTAAAGGGTTCTGCTTCTTTCTCCATTTCTATACCTACCATTACCTCAATACTAGGGGATTCAATCCTCATGACTAAATCTGGAGGAACATCCTCAGCTATATCCTTCCTAGTATCAAACACTGAAGAGTTTACCTGTCCAGACTTAATAAGGGACTGGGAAGAATCTTCATTATGCTCTTCCAATACAGAGGTAGAGATGCACTCTTTAACAATAGAAGTGGTTTCAATATCAGTACCACTTGCAACTACTGGAATAACATTGGGAGATTTGCCTTTTATTACACTTGACTTCCCCTTAGAAATGGGGGTCACCACCTTTGGTTTCTCCTTGGACCCAGAACATGATGCTTCAGAATTAAAAACAAAGGCAGCAGAGGCCTCCTCTTTTTGCCTTATTTCATTACCATTTGTATTACTCCCATTTTTCTTACTGTGGACAGAAACAGGTTTATACACACGCCCAGATAAAGAGGAATGCTGAGAGGAATTACTTTTGTTCTCTTTAAGTTTTGGATTACCCATAACCAAAGCAGGCTTCAGGTTGTAATCTCTCACCTGCTCACTGCCTTTTCCTTTCCCAGAATTTTTCTTTGTGGGAGAAGGTCTATTGGTATTAGTGATATTTCCCCAAAGGTCCTAGGGCCCGAGCTTCCTTTGTTAAAAGCAAATTGATTCTTATGTTTTCTCCTCTGAACTACCATCCAGGGACCTACTCCCTGGTTCATCATAGGCTTTTCTGGCTCCTCCTTCCTGATATCTGGTACATTGTTAACATCCACTATTATCCACATTATGGCCATACCGACCACATTTCAGGCATATCAGAAAAAGTCCTTCATATTCAACTTTGAAGATATCATCCTCCAAGTAATACTCCCCTCTCAACGGTTTAGAAAGATCAAGATCAACACAAACTCTTGCAAACTTGCCTCTTTCACCATTAGAAGTATTTTTATCTACTTTTATGACTTTACCTATAACATTTCCTAGGTGATTCAGGAAGGTATACCCACAGAATTCTTGTGGAATGCCAGGAAGACGAATCCACGATGCCACTTTATGATATTGGCCTTTAGATGGTTGAATCCTGGCTCCCACTTCCTTATTGCAAGGTAATGCCCCATCAGCACCCAGGGTCCACCCGTTAGAGCTATACTGAGATCTTCTAGATTGGCAAATTTAACTGAGAAAAAATCGTTCCCCAGATCTGCAACCACAATCGATCCTGACTTGGCCCACAAACTCTCAAGTTTGTTCTTTATGTACATGACTCCAACTTTCTTACCTAGGAGTTTCACTATTAAGGCATTTCTCCATGGATTTCGCACCCTCTGTTTAGCTTCCCCAGAACACCGGATTCTTACAGATCCATCTTCTTCAAAGATGGTTTGAAACCCCCAATCGGAGATCTCCCCTTTCAGAGGATCAAAGGGTTCTCCCATATCTTCCATAAAATCTTCCATCCCGCAAGCCTCCTCCCCTGCAGGGCATTCATCTTTCCGGAGAGCATCAGCAAAGGAACGATGAGTTCCGGCTACTGGATTGTTTGAGAGGAACCTCAGACCAGCGCCTTTGTTCAACGCATCGGGTGATAACTCCTCACCATTCTTGGATCGTTTCACACTTTTTCGCAAGTTATCAGCAGAATTAGAAGAGATCACTTGAACACTGGCAGAAATCGGTGGAGGACCACCGTGAGAAATTAACGATGACATCATTTCTGAACCCTAGCAAAGAAAAAAGAATCGCACGCGTGAGACTCACGCACCTAACCCATCTTAATTGTTAGAGAGAATGGGCACATTTTTTTTGAACTGTGAATGACAGGAGATCATCACTTTATACATATAATTGATTATATGTATATACTCAGCAACAAAATTAATTTTTCCATTAATTATACATATAATTGATGGAGACGGTTATACTTATCATCAAGTAAGTTTATCACCCTTATAACCAAGATTATCACCGTCAGATTAGAATTAAATCCAACGGTTCATAATTATCCCTTATAATCCTAATTTTTACTCTCTCATCATCTCTCTGTCTCTTTCTTTAAGTTTGGAATTCACATGCTTCTCTCTTCAAATTATTCTCTTCACTCCTGGTCGCTCTTCGGAATCACATATAGCATGACGTGCAAATGCATACAAGACAAAACCAAACCTGCTATTCGGATTCATTCACTCAATTCCCACGCCTAATTACAGCCAAGTGACAATAAACAATACTATGATATGATATTATAATACGAACATAACAGATAAAAGAAAAAAATGAATTTTAATCCTTATAAAAATAAAAATACAACAATGGATTGAAATTACAAATCCTACGGACAACACCCAATCTGTGAATTGCTATAAAGCCTATTTGGCTATTTACCGAATTGCTACCAAAATACAACAAATTGTGAATCAGCGTACATATGGATTGATCTATGTTTACCGAATGAATTGCTATAAAACCTATTCAACAACGATGAAAAGAATTAACTCATCCGATTTTTTGTTTTGGAGATTTATTTTTGCTGATGATCAAAGCGCGATAGCGGATGTGAGAGGTGATTTCCAAATCTAGAGAGAGATGTCCAGATTTCAAACCTAGAGTGAGAGACAGAGAGGGGATGAGAGAGTAAAAATTAGGATTATAAGAGATAATTATGAACCGTTGGATTTAATTCTAATCTGACGGTGATGATTTTGGTTGTAAGGTTGATAAACTTACCTGTTGATAAGTATAACCGTCTCCCTTGATGGATTGGTAACTTCTACAACAAACATATATTTATTAGAATATGATCTCGAATTCTAATATTTTATTTTTTTAATCTAGTGAATCACTTTTCTGTATTCACTTCAAAATTTTACTTTCTATTACAATTTCAAAAAAGGCGAACCCTAATTGATTATGGGATATGATATTATAATAATTAATTAGGGTTATTATTAATCAATTTCATCGCTAGATTGATTATTTTGATTCAACGATTATATTTATTTCTATATTTGTATATTTATAATTCTCCATATTTAATATGAGAAATTATAAACATACAAAAAAAAAATATTAAATATGCAAAATCAATTCCAATATGGTACCTCATTGATTATTAAATAAACTTTTCGGTATACCAATCCTAGTAAGCTTCAATTCTTGCTGAGAATTGGAAGCAGGCTCGCTTCCCATTCGATTAGCTTGTCGCATTCACTTAAATAAACTTTTTAAGTAAGTGGTTTTGAAGTGAAAATGGAAATGGGAAGTCAAAGGTAACGGAAGCTGGTAGCTTCTTCAATCACATATCACGTTGAAATAACAAGTTCTTCTCCAATTTATAAACTCCATTTTCTTCAACGTGCTCCCTTTGAAATCCATTGATCCCCAAGGTTTCTAGGTTCATGCCCTGATCCTTTTTCTTTTTTCTTTTTCTTTAAATTCATTTACCATTTCTTCCAACTTGGGAACACTGATGGGTTCATCTCGATTGACAACGTGGCTAAATTTTTTTTCCTTTTCACATTTCTCAGGCGTCATGTTATTGATCTGAACCCCATAGCTTGAACGTTGGTGAACCCTGCAGTTTTTTGCTCCCTTCACTGCAAGCTCACTTTTGAAGCCATACCCAGATCCCATTGCTCTATCTTGTTCACAAAAAAAAAAAATGAAACTTTCTACCAATAGTGGACTTGACTTGGAATATGGCAAGTTGGACAAGAAGAGTGAGAAGCCTTTAAGAAATAGTGGGGTAGTTAAAGTTCACAATCAAGCTTTATTATCTGGCCTTGCCTATTGCCTTTGCTCTTGCAGCATGATATTGGTTAACAAGTTTGTACTTTCCAGTTATGATTTTAATGCTGGGATATTCTTGATGTTTTATCAGGTAAGTCCCTTCAATTTTTTCCCATTTTATTTTATGAAATTATCTTCTCTAACATGTAGACCCATCTGGTACAATGATGTATATACTAGCTTCTGACATGAAACTTATGTGGCTGCAGAATTTTATTTCAGTGATTATTGTTTCTACATTGAGCCTTTTGGGCTTAATATCAACTGAACCACTAACTTGGAGATTGATTAAGGTCTGGTTGCCTGTGAATGTTATATTTGTTGGAATGCTCATCACGAGTATGTTTAGGTATGCAGTTTTCAACTATGTGGCTGTTATAATGCTTTCCTTCTCTCTTTCACGCATCATTAGAATATATTGATATTTTTCCAAATGGGATTTAGATACTTTTTTACTGGTTTTCTACCACTGAAGGTTTTATATGCTTCTAGTTGGTTTGTGTCTTATTCTAATTAATGTTTAATGTTAGATATTAAAATTGTATTGTAAGCCTTACAGTTGAATTAATGAGTGTAATAAATCGAATATTTTAAGGAATGTGCTCCAAGAGATGTGTTTGCATGAGTAATCTGGTCTGATCTTGAAATGGAAACATTAAGCAGAATATTAACGGAAAAATTATTCTTATTTTGGGAGTGTCAGAGTTCTGAAGAATGTTAACTTTTATTGCCATACATGTGATTTAGACGTCTACCATCTGTGACAGTTTGAGTTTATGAACTCAAAAACATATAATATAAAGTAAATAATTACAGCTTACAATAGCACGGTTTGTGTCTCTCTTTCTTTCTCTCCCCACCAACCTCTGCTGCTTGAATTATTTTGCTTATCATAACTTTTATTATGTGCAGTTTGAAATACATTAATGTAGCTATGGTGACAGTGTTGAAGAATGTTACTAATGTCATAACTGCCCTTGGTGAAATGTATTTGTTTAAGAAGCACCATGACAGCAAGGTCTGGACTGCATTGTTTCTAATGGTATGTTCAAGAGGTTGACATATGAATCTCATGATCCGTGGGATTTTGGCTGTTTGAGACACTGATTTTGATGGAATAATGGATACTGCATATTATATGTATTCTTGTTCTAGTTTCTTGCTTGCATCTTCCTACAACCATTACCCTTGCCAATATATTATTTTCTTGTAGCTGTCAAAAGGATGTAATAACGTCGGGGAATATGTTATTTGTCTATTATTCCATTACATTTTTTTTTTTTTTTTGCTTTACTGTTTAGCCCTCCCTGGTTCCTACTTTTAAGGGAACGCAACCAATGTCTGGAGTGGGGTTAGTCTTAGAGTTTAGGATCACGACAAGGCTGATCTAAAATTAGTAAGTTAAATCCAACACATTGGAGTTGCAGACTGTCACATATGCTGTCTTCCATTTCTGGAATATTTTGCAAGGTCCTTTGTTGCTTTGCATGTATTTCTAGGTGGATTATTCATTTTTACTCTTACCAACTTATTCTAGACATCTTTACTTTGCTGAACCCTTGTAACTGTCTACTGTTATGCTCTTCTTGAAGATATGCATCAGTTGAATACTAGCTTTACAAAACATCATGAAATTTTAAATAAGATAACCTGAAAGAGTTTCCTTTTTTATCTTGCAGATCATATCAGCAATAACTGGAGGGATTACTGATCTCTCTTTTCATGCAACTGGCTATGCTTGGCAGATACTTAACTGTTTCTTGACTGCATCATATTCTGTGAGTATAGATGTTTTGGGATTTTGAGGGTGAGCCTTGCTGCCTTGGTGCATTGATAAGGTTGCTGCCTCATGACTTGGTGGTCATGAGTTCTAGTTGTGGAAACTGCCTCTCCCTTATGGGGTAGTGTTGCATAATGCATACATCTTACCCTTCCCACACTGCACAATGGTTGGAGCCTTGTTTACTGGACCACCATTTTTTAGATGTTTTGTGAATTTAAGTTGCGTTGATGTAGTAAGTTTCATTATTGTCTAATTCTAGTTTTCTTTCCTTTCTATTTCTGTCTGCATGTATAACTTTTAATCCACTGACTTGGGAGTTGGGGCATCGGTATGGATAATTCATATCAAATCCAATATCATTGTATTCACATAAATTCAGTCATGTTTTTGTCTTTCTAAAATCTATTAGTTTCTTTATTATCATTTATGTAAAGTGATAGTTCACTGTGGGTGATGTCGAGTGATCAATTTATTCAATCAAACTTTTCTTCTCAAAGACAAAACCATTCTTCATTTATTCCTGGTGAGAGTAGATTCAGTGCATTTGAGGTTTGAGGTGTTGCTTGCTTGGAGGAAGTTCTAGATTCATATTACTTTTTGTACCTTAAACAGGGGAGGTTTAATTGGCGTTGGTTTAAAAGGATAATATATTATATTCCAGTGCATATATGTAGATAAGCCCTCATAATAGGCTTTTAGTTAAGTTCACTGATTACTTGGTTGTTTACATTTGTTGATGCAGCTGACCCTACAAAGGGTCATGGATACGGCAAAGCAAGTTACAAAATCTGGAAATTTAAACGAGTTTTCAATGGTTTTGTTGAACAACACCCTTTCTTTGCCCTTGGGAATTTTCCTGATTGCTGTTTTCAATGAGGTGGATTATCTCTTAAGAACGTGAGTTTTCTGTCACAATGTGTGAATGAAATTAATGTTATGTGCTTTGCATGATGTCATATTTTGAACATGCTGTCTTATCTCATGAGTTCAAAACTTTAAATGTATGATCAAGAGGACATCCCAAGTTTATCTCTCTTTTCTCTATGTTTGTGTTTCTTTACACAAATACACACCTATCTGGAATTTCCAGAAATGTGTTTTTGTGTTGTAATTAGTTTATGTTGATTATTAAATCAGAAAGCTTTTCACTCTTTTTCAATCTTATTAAATTAATTTCAACTGGCAGGCCACTTCTGAGATTACCTAGTTTATGGTTGGTGATGACCTTTAGTGGATTTCTGGGTCTGGCAATCAGCTTCACATCCTTGTGGTTTCTTCATCAGACAGGGGCTACAACTTACAGGTGTGATCAGAAATAACTGTTGTTAACAGTTGCTTTCAAGTATAATAACAATTCCGTATCAGTATTGAAATAAGAATTCTGCCTCATGAACATCAGCTTGCCAGGCTGACATAGATTAAACTAGGACAGCTGTTACAACCTGGCAGGTGTCGACATGTATAATTGGTGTCTAAAGTAGTTTTACATGTCATTGTGATTTGCAGCCTTGTAGGTTCGTTGAACAAGATTCCACTTTCACTTGCTGGCATTCTTCTCTTTAAAGTTCCTACTAGTTTGCAGAACTCTGCTAGCATTTTGTTTGGTTAGTTCATTCATCAACTGATCTGAAAGCGCTATTATTATTACATAAGAGTGCATATGCACGAGTTTGTATCGCATCTTGTTGCGCCACTGATAGTAGAACTGCAATATGTAGGTCTTCTGGCAGGTGTCTTTTTTGCCAGAGCCAAAATGCGGGACAGAACTCAATCCTGAAGAGCTGTAAATGCTATGTTTTTACATGATATAAGTTTGCACTTCGCACTTGAAGGAAGCTTTCCCCTTCAAGTTATGGGTGAAGGTGGAAGTTCAATGCAGGTCTGTTTGGCATCCTCAAGAGCTGGGATCAGCTAAACCAATTTCCACCACCCTTTAAATACTCAATTTGGGTGTGCTACTTGGGGTGGATGATTATTGCTTCTTGTCCATACTGAGCATTTCTTTCACTGAAAATGTGAACTTGGGACTCGGAGGTTTTTGGTTCATGTTCATATGGAACTTCTGGGGGGAGTAGCTTCTTGGGTTGGCAATAGCTCGCATTGGGAGAAAAAATTGCCACTAACCTTTTTTTCAGTTTGATTCTGTTTCATGTAACTTCAATGTTCCCATGTATCAGTATGCTTGTTGATTAGTTTAAGGGATTAATGTTTAGGAGATAATTTATATACAGATAAAAGTATATGGGGTCTATATGGAGGCATGTGAGAAGAAGAAAGAGAAAAAGAAAATACGGCCCCGTACACTTTTATGTGTATTATCTTATCCCCATAGTTGAATGTGAAAATTATCTTGGAAATGGAAAAGTTTGTCTTGCATCTTAGGTCATTCTTTCTCTCCTTTTTCTTTCTTTCGAACTTAAATGTGGGGCAGTAACTAATACACAGGTGAAGCCAAAATAAAGTAAAATAGAAGTAAGGGTAATAATGTAAAATAAATATATACATTAACGGAAAACATGTGGGGAAAATACACAAATAATGATTTCTCTCTTATGCTTTCGTAGAGTTGAATAATGTCACTAACACTTCCACATAAATCATTTTTTCCTGTACAATTTGATCTAGTTTCAATTTTTTATCCACTTATATTATAATTTTATTATGAGTTTGGTGTTTGTCGTTTAAAAAATGATGTAAAATTGTGTCATTTTAATTGAAAAAAAGACACAAATAATAAAAATCATGAAAGAAAAAGTGAGTGATTTTTTTTTTAAATTTAAAATTTAAATAAAAAATATTAATTTATTTCTTTTTCTCACTTAAAATAAATGATATAATCCTATCTTCTAAAAGGGTAAATAGTTTTCTCTTTTATTATATATTTAAATGTGAGCAAATGGGTATACACCTTACGCGTTCAGAGCTTTATCAATTTCCGTTACTTAGCATCATAATTTTATTTTATTTTTTCGCTATTTCACATAGGGTTGGCAAAACGGGCCAACCCGGCTCGACCTGGCCCAACCCGCATTCAATCCGTAAAAAACGGGTCGAGTTAGGGTTGACCCGAAAAATTAAACGAGCCAGAAAACCCAACCCAGCCCGACCCGAGCCGGGTTAGGGTTGACTCGTGGGTTGGCTCGATAATCAGCTCGCGGATTGGCTCGGAAAAAAGTTCGCGGGTTGCGTTTGTCACTTTCCTGTATGACCCTGCAATGTTCTACAACAAACCAGATCCATGGGTCCAAAGGTCACAACATGCCCAGCAACTAAAAAATTCCAATAAAAAAAATGAGTTCAGATAAATATAAAACGAACGGGTTTTTGACCACTATAGCCTTTTTTTAATAATTAATTACCAAATTGACCCTATTTATAAACTATTTCAAAAATTTAACCTCTCCAGAAAACATAACACCAATCTGCCCCTGTTTGACCGTTGACCATGAAGCCTACCCGGGTACACCCCTTCCTACCCGGGTATATTTCTTGAATTTGGAAAATGTTTGAATTATTTACCCGGGTAGGGAGGGGTGTACCCGGGTAAATAATCATAAACTGGTTGTGTGCGCCCATCCTCTTTGTGTGAACAGCAAATGAAAATCTCTAAATTGAAGGACTAACGCATGGAGAACAAAATCTGAAAACAGGTTATTGATGAAAGATATTCCACTGGATCATATGCCTGAGATTAGTGAAGCAAATAATCAAGGTTCTGCTCCAACAAAGGATGCTATTACATGTCACCAGTCAGACAATTCAAAAAAATGTTCAGAATTAGAGGTGAAGGAATTGGGCGTTGACAAGCTTGAGTTGTGGAAAACTGTAAAAGAGACAACTGAAGATAGCAAGAGGAAGATGTTGGAGAGGGTTGTCTCAGATGCTCAGAAATTGGCCATTCTTAAAATGACTCTGCAAGGTTTGAAAAAGAAACCAGAAACAAAGAAGAAAAGCAAGAAGAGAAAAGCTTGAGTTATGATTATTTACCCGGGTACACCCCTCCCTACCCGGGTAAATAATTCAAACATTTTTCAGATTCAAGAAATATACCCAGGTAGGGAGGGGTGTACCCGGGTAGGTAAAAAATTTTAAAATTTACCCGGGTAGGTAGGGGTGTACCCGGGTAGGCTTCATGGTCAACGGTCAAACAGGGGCAGATTGGTGTTATGTTTTCTGAAGAGGTTAAATTTTTGAAATAGTTTATAAATAGGGTCAATTTGGTAATTAATTATTAAAAAAAGGCTATAGTGGTCAAAAAGCCTAAAACGAACTATTACCACAAAGTTACAAGTTCTATATCGAAATCGAATATATTCCAAGAGAAATGAAAACTTTTACCATCTGTATCAAGCAAAGAAAGACGTTTCTGCTTTTGCTATCCAAGGACGACGATGTGAGCGAGTTTTGGAGTTTTCATATTATATATATATATATATATATATATATATATATATATATATTTTTTTTTTTTAATACAGTCATTTTTTTTAGGAGAAGGATATTGTGACAACCAAGTTGTGTTACTACCAATTAATCTCACCGTTAGATCGATTATGTTGATCCAACGGTTATATTTATTTTCATCTTTGTATGGTTATGATTTCCCATATTTAAAGTGAAAGCATTAAATATGAGAAATCATAACCCTACAAAGGTGAAAATAAATATAAAGTATTAAATTTAGAAAATCATGACCATACAAAGATGGAAATAAATATTACCGTTGGATCCACATAATCGATCTAACGGTGAGATTAATTGGTAGTCACTTGGTAGTAACACAACTTGGTTGTCACAATATCTTTCTCTTTTTTTTAATAATAAAACAAAATACCCAACCCGGGAGCTGGCCCGTTTGACCCGCGGGCTGGCTCGTTTGGGTCTGGGTTGTATCGGGTCGGGTTGAGTCGGGTTGACAGCTCATTTAGGCCCACCCAACCCGACTCATTTAGAACGGATTGCGAGCCAACCCGACGGATTGAGTCGTTTTTGCCATCCCTATTCACATTTGACAATAACAACAGAGTATTTTAATTGTTTTATATTTTTAAAAGAAAAATAATTATCAATATTTGAACTATTTCACACATCCTCTTTCAAATTTTCAATTTATTAACTATGAGTTTATCATTTTTCCTGCCATATGTCTAGCAATCCCAATATTAAGTTATTTTGATAAATATTCTATAACAAAGAAATAAATGTAATTCTTAAAATATTTTTCATTGATTCTTTCAATTTTTAAAATGACATAATTTTAGAAGGAAAAGATATTTATCATTTTAAATGATACAAAGTTCTATCATTTTTAATGAAATTATGTTTTTAAAATGACTCAAAATTGTATTATTTAAAATGACAAATAATAAACTCATTTTAAAATTAATTATTAATATTTATTTTTATAAGTTTAGTGCCAGTTTAATTTCAGCTATGCTTGTTCGTTAAGGAAGCGCACGTTAGTGGTTTTCTGAAACAAAAAGTGACAGTAACAATTCGAAAAAAGAAACTGGATCGCCGACCCGCTAATATCGTCCCCTTCTTTCTTTCTTTCGCTAACATTTCATTCTGAATTCCCTTTTTGGATTTAATTTATTGGGTACTACACAAATCTCACTCGTTATTAACTATATATTAAAATCATATATTTCTTATTCTCGATGAATTGAAATCAATGTGCATTATTATTTTGTGCGACGATTGGTTTTTTAACGTTATTATGTGTGTGACTGATTCAGTTGATTGCGATGGATTCGAGTTCGGGGCAGCAAGAGTTCGATTATTTGTTCAAGTTGTTGATGATTGGGGACTCTGGGGTTGGCAAGAGTAGTCTACTTCTCAGTTTCACCTCTGATGATTTTGCAGATCTCTCCCCCACTATTGGTCCCTTTCTTATTTACTCTCTTCTTTTTCAATTGTTATTTGATTTGTCCTTTGATTTGAGATGTCATTGTAATCTAATCTAAGAAGCACATACACTTCTAGGACGTGTCGTATCCGACGCTCCAACACGCGTAGAAATTAAAAAAAAAAAAAAAAAAAGTTCAAAAATTGCGTTGAGTTGAGTTTTTAGTTCCAACTATTAGATTCGTTGGATTACGATTACTATTTTATTGAGTTTAATATAGATATTTAGGATATCTTATGTTTCTTTATAGAATTGATGAATATTATAAGTTTAGTTTCATTTTTTTGTTAAATTATTGAATATTAAATATAATATACACTACATAAATTAAAAATATTATTTAATATCAAAACGTGTCCTAACATATCAAAATCTAACATTTTGTAGAATTAACATGTCGGAGTGTCGGTATAGGAGCTACATAGATTGTTGTAGCCATAACATTAATAGTGTGGTGTAGGCTAGCTCACTAACCTGCATTGTTTTCGTTGGTTAAGTTCTTTGTTATTTCGAGTTTCTAGCTTCAACTATTGTGTCCATCTGTTGTTTTTTATCAAAGAAATTGCTATTGAGATGGGGAGCTTGTCCATCTCTCCTGCTTTTTTGTCTTATTTGATGTCCTCTTGCAGGTGTTGATTTTAAGGTCAAATATGTGATGATGGAGGGTAAAAAGCTGAAGCTTGCCATTTGGGATACCGGTATTCATTTGTATATATTTATTACTGTTTCACTTTATATTAATCCTTGTATATTAGTGACTAACTCTAGATATGGCCGATTACGGTGACCTTTTTAATTGTCAGAGTTGTTGTGGCCAATACCATATTTGATTCTCTACTTTTTTTTTAATAATGCAGCTGGTCAGGAGAGATTCAGAACACTTACAAGTTCTTACTACCGAGGGGCACAAGGAATCATCATGGGCAAGTTTCTATTCTCCATTTTTTTGACTCTCCATCCTCCCAATCATACATTTATGGATTAGATGAAATGTCTTGGATTTTCATGACAAACTAGACTAGAATATATTCAATGGATAGATGCTATTCATTGTTCACATATTCTTGTTGGCAGTACTTATGGTGAATTCCAGTAAATTTGAAATCTTAGCCATTTGTTTCAGTTAAAGGATGGTAAGAATTACGACCTTTTCTTTATTCACATTGAAATAGCATATATATATGCATCACTGCTCTTCCCTTCTTTGATATTTTTACATGCATTGAAAATAAAATTTGAAATTAATACGCATTTACTTCAATTTGGATGGTAGCCTTTTGTATAAAGAGATGTAAGCCATTTGGCTTTCTTTTAAAAGTAAACCTATGATATGACCTTACACTTGGGAAATCTGGTACATTCTGTGAGTTGCTTTGAGGTAGTTAGTTCTTTGCTGAGAGGAGTTAAAGCCAAAACTTCCACATGCTAGGTTATTATAGAATTACATGCTTATTTCATCTATCATTAAGGCTTTTTTTGTTGCCTCATATAATCAAAGCATGTGGTTCCCTACAAATTAATTTACATCTTAGACCTTTTAAGTCACATTCCTGACCTCTGCTGGGGAAGTTTGGTGACTTGATGATCTTGATTCTTAGAATACTACTTCTATATTTAAGGTAAACCCCGTTGCACAAGGCTCTCCGATTTGTGAAGGTAGGGCTAAGGGTCGATTATACGTAGCCTTACCCTTATATTTTTGTAAAACGGTTGTTTCTCATGCTCGAACATGTGACCTTCCGATCACAAAAAGCAACCTTATTGCTGCTCCAAGACTCTCCTTCAATACTACTTCTATATCTCTTATCAAATATAAATTTTATTGATTTGGATCATTGTGAGAATTGATTAATTGAATATTATTCATGTTGCTTGGGAAAACTTAACTATGCCCTGAACACTGATATGAATATTAATGAATACATCCTGGGGTCATTTGATTTGCTAGTGAATTGCTCTTTTGTCTGATTGATATGTGGCCTGTGGCAATTCAATGATCAAACTGGAGTTTTCTTTCCGTTATTGGTGGGATTCTCCGTGAAACGGCTGCCATATCTGTGTATTAGATGCAATATATTGAAAAGGCTTTGGAAATTGGAAGATGTCCCCTCCTCCAAGTTGACGTAATGTTGAAATTTGAGTTTTGGATTAGCTGGTAATCTCTCCATTTTGTTTTTCTAACTAATGCAGTTTATGATGTAACCCGGCGAGAAACATTTACAAATCTTTCTGAAGTATGGGCAAAGGAAATTGACCTTTATTCAACAAGTCAAGACTGCATCAAGATGCTTGTTGGTAACAAAGTAGATAAGGTACCTTCTTTTAAGAAGTTTACAGTCATATGCTCTCGGTTTCTTAATTTTAACGTAAATTCACCTTCCCGTGTATTCTAGTTACGTCTATATATATGTTCGAGTACATTAGTTTATGCATGTGTTTCTGGCTGACCTAAATCAATAGTCTCTGTTCCCCTTATATTTCTTTAGGATGTCCACGTTTGAGTTGTTCAAAATCAATGTCATTCCAGTACTTTTAAATTTTCTTCAGACCTTGGATTCTGTAAGGAACTGAGAGAGATCACTCTAGAATTTAGGAAAGAAACTTGTGTAGTATAGATTGAACTCAGATATCAGTGGAATATCCTGTGAAGGTAAGGAAAGTTGTTGAAGAAAAAGATAGCCTAGAGCATTTGAGATGCTCTAGTCTCTCCCAATACTTCTCTACAATCTTTGATACCCTTTCACACTTCTCTCTTAACCTCCCTCACTCCCAAAGCTTTTGTAACAACTTTTCCCTCCAAAATCCAAGTCACGCAGCATGGGTTAATTTAGGGGTGTGATCCCCTGTACCTCCTACTGTAAACCTTAGTCATATGAGGCTTAACAGATTCCAAGTCAAAGCTAATCATTAGGAATTTTTAGCACATAGAAAATACTATCAGGTATCTTTTAACCAATTTGTATCTTTTCATTTTAGAGATTTTCACTGCAAGGGGATGAAATTCTTTGGCGCTGTGCTCTATTTTTGGGGGTTATGATATTCTTGGATGGAGTGTAACACATGAGTTTTAATCAGAAGTTTCCTCCCCCCATCAGTTGTGGAACAGAGTTGTCTTTCTCGCTTCCATGTGGGTGTCAGACTGTCAGCACACATCTTTTTAGAGGAATTTCTATTACGGATGTACAAAGAGATTGGAGAACTCTTTTGATATAGTGTACTTGTCTTTTGTTTGTCTTGTTTGTTCTAAAAGGATTGCTTATCTTCCTTGAAATAATAATTTTTGGAGATCATTAATGGAAAGCATATTGAAAACTAACAAAAAGATGATGAGGAAGCATATGCTTGTTTGCATGCTTTTACATGTTATTTAAGCAAGTACAAATCCGGAATTGCATGAACTCCATTTTGGCCCCCGTTTTACGATTCTTGCTTCAACTCTTGGATTTGTCTATTCAGCTACATTTCATATTTATTCTTGTTCTGATTTCGACATCATATCAGAGCTTATTACTGAATTTTCTTTTTCTTGTATTTCATTAGAGGACTTGACATGCATGTTGGTGATATTTTTCAGGAGGGTGATAGAGTTGTGACAAAGAAAGAGGGAATAGACTTTGCCAGGGAATATGGTTGCCTATTTATTGAATGCAGTGCTAAAACTCGAGTTAACGTACAACAATGCTTTGAGGAGCTGGTCTTGAAGGTATGTCAAGTGACATATAATGCCCATTTCCTTACATAATTTTGGTCACTATCTAGTGTGCTGCAAAGATTCATTATGCATACTATCATATTTAGATGGCCATGGTGAATCTTTCTCTGTTCTCTCTCTCCCTCTCCTTATATGTGTATGTGTTTGCTTGAGTGAGTGGTGTGAAAGGCAGAAATGTTTGGCTAAGAAAATTACCTAATGCAATCTCGGGAAAGTAGTATTTTTCACATAAGGTCAATGACTTGCAATAAATAGATTAAGAGACACGGGTTGAGGCCTAAAGAAAAATTGGTTTTGGGGGCATGTTGAAATGGATGACATTTTTTGAATTGTGTTGAGCTACATTTGATGATGACCATGATATTGCTTTTTTCTTTTATTTTTCTTTGGGTGTTTGCAGATTCTGGATATACCTAGCCTCTTAGCCGAGGGCTGTAAGGGGGTAAAAAAGAACATTTTTAAGGACAAGCCACCCCAGTCTGATGCATCCACAAGTGGTTGTTGCTGATTTTAAGAAGCTATTTCGCTCAAAACCTGCATTTGAAGAACTATGATCTCCAAGAGAAGGACGTTGCATCCACTTTCAGAATCAGATATCTAACATAATTTGCTGGTTATTTAACATCAGCGGAAGCCATTTTTTATTTTTCAAGTTCCTGTTTTGTCTTGAATATTAGATTAGATGTAATATAATAATGATGGTTGTCAGCATTTTCTTAGGAGTTCTTGTTTGTCTTTGAGACACATTTAATTTTTTGTGTAGACGTGCAATTTTATTTTATTTTTTAAAAAAAATCATGGATATCATCTGATAGAGTATTTTAAGGAATCCAATTTAAATTGTATATAATGTCTAGGCAGTGATATTGTTCCAACTGTCGATGTGCCTGAGCTTTAGCAAAGAGCAAGTACTGAACACAATCAAATAATATGATGTAAATTTGTTGGATAAGCTTGCTATGAGGATTGTTTGTTGTCATCTCAATGTGTTGGAAAGGATCAAATGGCGTGAAATATGAGTAATAATGTGCGATCCCCCGTCTTCAACATAGGCATTGTAGATTGAAAAGGATCAAATGGTGGGAAATCTGAATAATAATGACATTCGTCATCGTTCTGTCTTCTCCGTTTGGCCGTTTAAATTGTCAAATTGAGAATAGATTCTTTTTACGTAATCTTATTTTTAATATTTATATTTGAACCTTTCAAAAGAACTAAATTTACTTAACCTTAGAGTGGTAATGTACCTGGGGTCATTTTTTTTTTTTTTTTTTGTAATCTCTGAGTAGTTGATCCTCCTCAGCTTCTGCACTTTCTGCTTCTCTTGCAATTTCAAACTCTTTTGAGTTTCCTCATCTTCTCTTACTCACATTCCCGAACACTGAATGGCCACCCCGCATCGCACTCTGTTATTTCACTTGTACCCTTCACTTCTTTTTCTCATTTTCACAGTCACATCTGTTCAACACCACCTAAAGATGAACCCTTTGGATCTCAAAGCCCTTCTTTCCATCAAGAACATTCTCACCGAATCACATATTACAAACTCAGTGGTTGCTTCACTCCAATTAAAAAAATTCAGTGGCCACTTTAGCCTCTTTATAAAAATGTTAAATATAGAACTATGACTTTTCTGAAATTCAAATATAATATGTGTTGTTTATGTTTTGAACATGTAAAAGTGAGTTAGATATTTGTATAATGATTTGTCTTTTAACTGATAGTATGATGTTTTGGGGAAAAGACTAATTGATTGGAGATGACACAGAGGAGAACAATGAAAACATGTCCAGTATAGATGACATATAGCACCTGGTAATGTGGTACTCTTAATCTAAGTGACATATACTTTTTGCTCAATTTCATTTCATTTTACTTTTTTATGCTTTGAGTAATGACATGGATTAATAGTATGATATTCTTCTGAATAGGAGGGAGTGAATGCAGAAACATAAATCACACCAAAGAGATCCAGGAAGTGTGGTGAACAGGTTCATTATGCATGTATGTAATTGCTAGAATATTTAATTTTCAATGATATTATATATTAAGAATTTATTAAATATTTTTTGTTTCTAAATATAATTTTTTTATTCCGTTTATATGATGCTCTTATATCAAACATTAACACGCAATTATTTTTCTAATTTATAGTTCAGTACTAATATTAAATTAATTAATTTAAATATTTATATTAATCGCACAAAATTGAAATATATAAAAATTCTTTCAAGAAAGTAGTATAAACTGTAACTGAAATAAATCTAAAATGTTTCCAAGTAAAAAAAAGAAGAAGAAATAAATATAAAATATAAAATATAAAATATCACTCGCCATGTAAAATAAAAAAAATACAATTTTTATCAATTGAATATCGAGGACTATTTTTAGCTTTTTTTTTTTAAATAGAAATTGTATGAATAAAGTTACATATTTATAAAAATAAAAAATATAAATTTATATAATTTTGTTTTTAATATATAACTTTTATTACTTAATACATAATTTTTAAAATGTAATAAAATAAATTTTTTAAAGAGAGTAGTAATAAAATGGACCACAAGGAGATACAAAATATCTCATGTGAAAAATCCGTTGAGAAAAATAAAATAAAAAAGCATGGGATTGGGAGTTATCTGAATTCTGAAGTCCTTAGCAGTGGTTTGGTTATTATGGCTGCAGAGATTCCTTGCAAACAAAGAAGAAGCTCAGGTTTTGGTTCCTAACTCAGTAACAATGGTGGGTGCATTCAGAGCACCACTCATTTCCCATCTTCCTTCCAAAACCAGAATTCAGAATTCTCATAGCAAAGCTTCACCACCCATTTTCAGAGCTCAACTTCCAAAGAGGCGCTTGTTACTCTTCTCTCTGCCCCTCTCTGGTTTCCTTCTCCTTCCTGTTCCTCCCAGCTTTGGTGATGGTATTGGTGACAGTGCCATTAGTAACAACAAATTTCAACCTGCGTCTTCTTCATATGACCCAGTAAGTCCTTCTGAAAGAGATGCCAGTGCTTTAATCTCACAAAGAGTTTCTCAAGCAGTGGAGTTGTTGGAGAAAGGAAGAGAATTACAGGCTCTTGGTGACTTTAATGGCGCTCTTGACTACTTTTCTCAGGTGATGTGCACTTTTTTAGTTATCCAATATCCTTTCATTTAAGGTCCCTCTTTTCTCATGTTGTAGGAGAAAAAATTCTCCTACCATAGACACAATAAGTGATGAAAAATTGTTGCACACGTTTCGATTTCTCTTTAGTAGGAGAAAGAATTCTCATGTAACATGAGAATTCTTTTCCCCTTCGTTTAATTAAATAAAGAGCATATATATATATATATATATATATATATATATATATATAGAGGAGGAATATTCTCACTATCAAAATTTTCCACTACCAACTTATTACCTATCTAATCACCATTAGATTAACATTTTCTCTTTCTTCAAAAACTTTTTAACATTCTCTCTCTTTGATCCAATGGTGATGTGATGGATAGTAAGTTAGTAATAAGAATTTTTGATAGTTAAAATATCCTAACTCATATATATATAAGATTATATTTACTGTTTACAAACTACGTTACCAGTAAGACACTCTTGTGTAGAGTTTTACCGGTCAGATATAATATAGTTTGTAAGTATGTGAAACCCTATTATCTGTGTTTGGGGCTGGGGTGTTTATCATTTTATGGAAGTTAGATTCCGAACCTCTATCGTTAATCCATTTAACAAATTAAATTAGATTTGTTAGATGTAAGTAGAATAACTGTTAAAGATTGATTATAAGACTTAATATTTTTATAAGATGATGAAATATTTATGTGATACTGTAACGTTATAGATTCAATTATTTGGAAACTAATTTTGCCATAGTTATTTACAGGGGATATGGAGATGTAAACGATTGTCATAACTTAATGGTCATTGCATTTATATTCAGATATTTGATCTGCCACTTTAGGGCTTTAGGGCATGGTATGCAGTAACTTATTGAATTTTGGAAAGCAAACCAATATGGTTACCTGCCAAAAATTATGCAGAATATTTCTTGCATTTGTATGGCCTAAGTGTAGGCATCATGTCGGTTCGTTATACTCCTGAAAGATTCTAATTTTGATATTGAAGCATAAAAAAAGACAGGGTATGGAATTGGAAGCGGGAATATCTAAGCAAAGATATCATACAATCTCAATATTGTGAAGCACTTATAATAAATTGAGTATCATGCAAAATTCATGCCTGAGAGTTGGGAAGTTGCAAGAGTTCAGTTCTTGATATTGTTCTGTAATTTGTATTTGAAGGCTCAACCTGAGCTATTTCAAGGCATCACATGTCACTTTCTAGTTGCCAATGAGTTTATTCTCATATTCAATAGTTCAATTATGACTGAGTTTTACTCGGGTATACATGCCTGCTCATTTTTTCAGGTTGTTGAAAGATACAAAGACTTGGCATTATCAGAGTATGCAAGGGTAGGAAGAGCACTGGCCCTGTATGAAGTTGGTGATAGAGAAGAAGCAATTGCAGAGATGGAAGATGTTTCAATATCTCTAAAAGGGTATCCAGGTATGTTCATAGGCATTGCATTCTAAAATCATGCTGAAAAGGGAACTCTCACTTTTCTCTAATACTACTTTTTCCCCTAAGCAGAAGTACATGCAGCTCTTGCAGCAGCCTTATATGCAGATAAGCATGCCTCATTGCTTGCTGAAAACCAATTTACTATAGCAACTCTTCTTGATCCCCATTTTACAGACCTTTCATATGTTAGAGACACTAAGCACTGGCCTCCAAGTTTGGTTAGTTCTCTGCAGCACTTCATCACACTATCTTAAGACCTCACATGATACTTATATACGTGTTGTTTAATCCATACTAAGCAATGCCAGCTATATGAAGACCTTCTCTCAAGTTTGGAAGTTTACAACTTAAGATGTGAACCCTTGTTTATTTATTTAACTTTTTTTATTTATATTTTTACTCTTTTAATTCTGGAATGTAAATCAACTGTGATATAAGTTTTTGCTTTAAATGTTGCAGAGGAAGGTATTTCCCAAATTTATGATATAGTTTCTTAATTCTTAAGCCGGGGATTGTTCAACTCTCATATTAAATTGTTGTAATCTTGCAATAAGCTTTCAATAAAATAGTCGTTACTTATATGAATTCTAAGCCACTGAGCAAGTATTAGTATGGTATCTTCTCCTTTCTCTTTCTTTTTTAACTACTAACTAGCCATGACCCTAATGTTTATATTTATTATTTTTGTTTCCTGTTCCAAGCACGAAAGCTCACTTAAAAGGAACAGTGACTATTTTGCCACGCTTTGGCAAAAAAATTACTAAAATGCCACGTGAACAGTAAAATTTCTCAAACTGCCACGCGGCATATTTCGCTACACAATGTAGCGAATTATGCATGCAAGTAATTCGTTACACAGTGTAGCGAAATATACCACGTCAAAACCAAAAAGTGCCATGTGTCAAAATTGTTGAAATTCGCTACCCTATGCAGCGAATTTCAACAATTCTGACACATGACACTTTTTGGTTCTGTGCATTCTGACGTGGCATATTTCGCTACACTGTGTAGCGAATTACTTGCATACATAATTCGGTACACTGTGTAGCGAATTATCCCGCGTGACAATTTGGAAAATTTTACTGTTCGCGTGGCATTCTGGTAATTTTTTTGCCAAAACGTGGCATTTTGGTCACTGTTCCCACTTAAAACGTGGTTAAACACAACATAAGCCATTTTACCTTTAGGATGTGTGATAAGCCATGGCATTGGTCATCTCGTCTTTGCTTGTGCCAAAATTGTTGGAAATAATCAAGTATAAGTGGTAAAGAAGTACTACATAGACTAGACATAGACCAAATGATGACCATATAAGTGTAAAAGACCCATAAACCTACAGCCTTAAGGTTTTGGGTTGAGATGTGGTGTCGGCCCACTTATTATGGTTTGTCATTTGGCACATTGGTGGATGTACCCTTTGCAAAGATTTTTGGGCTCCCTCGTTACGATCTGGGCCAAGTGTTTGGAAGGCCTCTGAACCAAGGCTAGTGTGACACTAATATTTAAAAGAGAAAAAAAAAAAAAGACTTCCGCAGAAGTTGCCCTTGGGGTAAGAATGATATTAGGCCTCACACTTGAGGGAGGATGTTGAAAATAATCAAGTATGTGATGACCATATAAGTGTGAAAGACCCATAAACCTACAGCCTTAAGGTTTTGGGTTGAGATGTGGTATCGGCCCACTTATTATGGTTTGTCATTTGGCCCATTGGTGGATGTACCCTTTGCAAAGGGTTTTGGGCTCCCTCGTTCCATTTCCAACAAAAATATCAGTTTACTCCCATTAAAAAACTGCTAGAAAGGTATTGGTCCATTTCTCCTGTTCATTAATTACCTTATTTGATTTGGTTTGAACATGATTGGATTCATACAGGAATAGCTCTCCTGAGGTCATTTTTTCCATTTCAAAAATTCTAACCCAAAACATTTGATTAAGAGAATCAAAAGGATTTAGATATAGAAAAGGGATTTTGTTAACAGGGTAAAATGAGTAGTTCATGTAAATTTAAATGATATTTTGATGAACCTTAAACAGAAAAAAACCACAAAACATTTTGTTAAGTATATCTTTAAAATTGACAATTTGTAATTAAATTTGTTGACTATTTCAAGTAATATAACATCACTCTTCATCTAAATATGCAAGAGAGGGTTAGCAATTACCACAAAACATTCTTAGACACATTTGTTATAAAAGAATACTCTCTGTTTATTATGTTTATTACATTTGTCTTTAACTTTAACGATCATATTTAATATTTTAACAATTATAACTAGTAAATATTTGACCCAAAAAAATGATGATTCATGTAATTAAATAATGTGGTACAAGATGTGATGTAAAACTTTGTCTTACACAATATTTCGAAGAATCTTGCAAATCAGCACTGATCAGACATGGTCCTGCATATCTTACCTGCCTGTTTGAAAAAAATTCCATTTTGAGTTAAATCACTATAAGGATGGTTCCTGGAACCGAGATTTGATTGGAGAATTAAAAGGAGAAAATAAACAAAGGAAAAGAATAGATGGAATAGAAAAGGAATCTGTCCTTTTCTATTTTCTGAAATCATTGAGTTGATGCCCGCAATTCAACCTAAAAAGTCAAAAGACGAACAGGGTACCTTTTAGCAGCCTCGAATTATAAGGATGTGACTCCATTTTGTTTCGGGGGTAGTATTTTGTTTTTGTGTTATGGAACATCCTGCAATCATTTTTTATTGTATATTCATGTCAGTAATTTTAATATTTTAATTATATATTATCCTCGATACATAATTAAAAAAAGATTGGAGAATAAAAAACTTATTCTTATAATATAATACTTATATTTCCCTTAAATAAAATGCCTTTAATTGAGTTAAAAGGCCAGGGAAATGAATACATATGGCTATCAACTAATTTCTACCATTACTCATTAGTCTCGGGATTTGAATGCAACATTTTCGTCTCACAATTGTCAAAGAAATGGAAAAAAGGCTCTAGGAAAGTGTCCAAGTGAGATCTCTTGTTAAAGCATTCAAATTATTACTAATACTATTATATTCTGTTTATATAAAAGCATTCTATGAACCAATATATAGTCCATAAAGTGACTTCATTATTGTCAAATGTAATTTTTCATTTGATACTGGTGTCACTTTATCTGACTTCTTAAATTGATCGATAATGGACAGATCATATCTGCAATATTATTTTGGTTTTAATAATTTATTTCTGTACCCATCTATGCCATTTCTCGCTCTATTTAAAGCACATCTGGATTAGTTTGTCATTTCATTTCATTCCAGTAAAAGGTAAAACTATGCTTTGAGAGAGAGAATACCACTTTTAGCATATTCTTTCATCATCAAAAATCTTAAGTTTGAATTCAAACCATAGCCAGTTTAGATATTTAATTATTGGCTTTGCTTGTGTGTGCGCGATAATGAGGACAAAATTGAGTTTTGAACTCCTGATGATATTCAATTATTCAAAGATTACAGGTATATGGGAACAAATCTATCAGTGGCACAACAACAATGAGACCCCACAAAGTCATCAAACATTTATATATATATATGTTTGGTCTTTATGATTATTATTATTATTATTATTTTGTTACATCAATTGTATTACTATTATTATTATTATTATCATTCAGAGTCTACGTCTGCTTTGGCTCTTCATTCCACTTGTTTCTTAGCAATTTGAGCAGCATTCTTGCCTTTGATTTTGTTGTGGTACTAGACTGACTCTGCAGAAGCAATAGCAACCGAGTCAAAACTCCGGCCCCAATGGCTTCCTCTCTTGCACGCCCAAAATCACCACAAACAATTAAAAGTAGCTCAACAGCACTTTCACTTCTTTCTTGATCAGATACCCTGAAAACCATATTCACCAGAGTTTCAATACCATTTGGGTGATTCACCAATGCCACTTTAGCACTTTCTAGCTCCAAAAGTTTCTCTGCTGTTGCCATTGCCAGTGGTGCCAACTTCTTCTTTCTTCTTTCAGAACCTGATGAGGAAATGTATGTTATGATCCCATCTATTGCTCCTCCTCTCACTAAACTCTCTCTGTTACATTGCAAAGAACACAGTGCAGATAAGCCTTTAATTGCATCCTCAGAAGCCTCACAATTTTGGCTAGCAACTAGAACAATCTCATGCACTAGTACGCGAGAGTTTCCAAGAACACAACATAACTCTTCTGTCTGAGATGATGATGCTGACTCTATAAGATGACACAAGCTAATCTTAACCGAGCTAGTTCCCTTTTGAAATAATAGAATAAATGTGGCTAATTTTGACTCATCTTTGATCATATTTAGAGGATCCAAACTACCTAGAGGAAGCAATTTTAGAATGCAACAAAGTGCTAGCTCTATAAACACCATGTGATTTTTTAATACTTGAGCATCTACTCTTCCAAAAACTAGTTCCAAGAGTAGTGGTAAGAAATCCAATTGGAGGAAACATGATTTCTTAAAAGAACAATACTCATCAGATAAGACACTGATTTTCTCAAGTGCTTGAAGCTTGTTCTCGAAGTTGCTCTCATGAGATTCAAGGGTGCGTTTCAGAGCAGCTAAAGAATAGATAGTTGCAGTTGCAGAGTTACCAGGGTCAAATTGGAGACTCAGTTGAAGCCACTGATCGATCAAGTGGCGAAGAGTGTGATTTGGAACAAAGGATAGATCATGAAGCTTCTGCATTGTGACAGGGCATGTGAAGTTACCTGCAGCCAGCCATTTTTCTATGCTTGACCTGTCATAGGTTTGGCCCGTGCATAAAGTTACAGGATCTTCAAACAAATCTAAACTGATCGGGCATCTGAATAAGTGGGGAATGGTATCTTCAAATTCATTCATGGAAAGAAACTGAAGATTCCTAAGAACAAAGAAGCAAATAAATGTTAGAATATAGATCTCTAATGGAAGTTTCAAAGTGACAGAAAGACATGCATGTCTTAAAGATTGAGGCTTTAGGTGTAGGCAATACAAAGACATGCAGTTTTAAGGAAGCCACAAAGATGGGTGTCAGAAAGTAGCAAACTTTTTTAATTCCTCATACTAGAAACTAGGAAGTAGTGTAGTGACTCAATGATAAAAGGGATGGAGGAGGACTGAGAAATGGACCATAAAATATTGCATCCAGAGAAAGTGATGAGTAAAAGAAAGAAAAGTTACAAAGTTGAGGTCCCATATTCCATAGTGGCAGCAGAAAAGAGTAAGTGGAGTATGGGAACTCTGCAATTCTTAGTTATTGACAGCACTGTAGAGAAAGGGAAAGAGCAAAAGTACAATTTTTGATGGAAAAAACAGAAAAGAAGCCAAAAGAATAGATCTAAATTCTAATCATATAGAAAGCAAGTGGGATGGCAACTAATATTGTAGAATAATTGTGAGAATGGTCCCCACCTCAGCATCTTCTTCATCAGTCCAGTCAAACCAGAACACCGCCTTCCCCAAAAAAAAGAAACACAAAAAATACTATTCAGTCAAACTGACCAACCTAAAGGGAAAAATATTGTTATTGTCCTACTACCTATGGTGATTCACTGAAGCAAGAAAATTGTGGCTTTACTTTTTGTTTGTTTTTGTGCTTTTGACTTAACTTAAGAAGAGGGTGTGTGCTTGAGACGGTTTAATAAAAGGAAGAGCATAATTTAATGGTGATTATAAGGCTCACGACTCACGAGAGAAGCATTATTATTTTTATTATTATTTGGGTACAATGTATATATAGAGCCGGCAAAACGGGCTCAGTTCGGCGGGCCAACCCGTCCAACCCGCTAAATAGGACGGGACGGACTGAGTTTTTCAACCCAACTCTAAAGCGGGACGGGGCAGACTCATTTTTTTGCGGGTTGATGGCGGGTCGAGGCGGATCAGTGTAAAATAGGCTCGGGCTGACGGGGCGGGCTGAGTTTTTGAGTCCACTTTCAAAACCGGAACAAGGCGGGTTGGCTCATTTTTGGCGGGGCGGAGCAGGTCGGACCGCCCACTTTGCCACCTCTATGTATATATAGAGCATTTGGGGAGTGAAAGAAGAGCTTTGGTTCACCCATTGGTTATGGAATAAATTGTAACAAAAACTTTAAAAAAATTCGGTAAATTTTTTCATAATCACTTACCCCTTTCTAAATTTTTTTAATTATTTACACTTTTTAAAAAAAATTATCATTTACTTTCCTAACTTAATTTTTCATCAAAAAATAAAGTTAACGTAGTTAATTTTTTTGAAAAATACCTTAATTATCCTAAAAAAAAGGTCTTTTGGAGGGAAAGAAGTCAAAAGGGTCACCAAAGCATAAACATTGTAACTCCCGAGCACTGACAAGGACGAGAAGTGATCGCCGCTGCGAAAGGGCTCGGTGCGAAAGGGCACAGACAAGGAGCGGCTCCTGACAGGCTTTCAGCGGGGGTTTCATGAATGAATCGAATCGACACCCGAAAGAGAGAGATTCTAAAGATAGTGCAGGTATGAGACTGCACAGTTGGTGATAGTTTATAAGAATTAAGTTGTATTATCTATACTAACAAGATGCATCTACTTTTGGTAGCTGTAACATCCCCGTCTCGAGTCGGTTCAATTAACATACATATGATAAAACAGAAAACAACGGAAGACTTAACTTCTGAAAATACGAGCTAACTTTTTCTTTTTCTTTTTAAATTCTCATTCGTCGTAAACGAAAATCGTGCAGAGTTTCCTCTATAAATCGGACAACTGGGGATTTTCTAATCCCTCACAAAAGCATTTCTTGATAAACAGTTTATACAAATATAATCAAATGCCATCCATGGGCGCATGCATAACTTGGCTCAGTGCCACTATATCTAACAACATGCAATCCAACACGTAAACATATCTGAATACTACCTCATCATATAACGTGCCTGAATACCCAAATGTACATGCATCAAAGCGACAGACATGTACAAAACATATACATGCCATATACACAATAAAGGATCAATATCATGATCCATCAAATGCGAAAATACTAAAATACATCAAACACTCCAAAAAGGTAGTAGCCTACAGCCACTCAAAATCCGATCTGTCAACTGCCTCAGCCACGTGTCGTGTCCCTGCCTAGTGAGGACTCACCGGGAATCTGGGCACCTGAAAATATGTCCCCAAAGAGGGGTGAGATTACAAATCTCAATAAGCTTCAGGTTTATAGAGAATTCTCCATACCCCTGGCTCACTCCTGCATGAAAGTCAGATACAAAGTATACGAATACAACATATAACAGATATCATAACAGAACAGAGCATATATCCATATCATATCAGAGATGTGCGCCATCATTCCCAAGGGAGGACCCCAAGCGGAAATCAACGCACGTGTTCCCGAGGGAGGACCCCAAAGAGGAACCAGACATATCAGAGGCGTACACCATCAGTCCCGAGGGAGGACCCCAAAGCGGACGTCCGGGTACTATACAATCAATGGCCAGAGATTGTTACAGAAATCATATTACAGAAGTCATATCAGAGCAAAACATATCATGTTATCAAATAACTCTATATGAATGCATATATACAAAGCATCTAAATCACAGTCATACAGTCCAACCATAGTTCACTAACCATGGTGGAGCACTCAAGCAGGAAAAGACTCCTTAAACATAGAGCTTACCTCTTGAAGCTTTACCAATACGCTTACTTGTTGCACAAGTTACTTATATGTCTTCAAGAGATTCCGATCCTTTTTAGTCCCTAGGTGCACCTAGAGCAAGAATCCACAAATACAAATCAATAAAATGCTATCATGCCTAGACTTTCCATAAGGCATACATTTTATCGCTTATCTTCCTTTCTTTATACTTTTGCCAATGTTATGCCAATACACAAGTCTAGACCACCTTATACTCGTTAGCATTCTTTAATTTTAATCAAGTATTCACTTGAGAATTTTCAATATCATTCATGCCATTTTACTTCAAAAGCCGCGGACATACCCTTAGGAAATCAAAGTATTTTTCAACCATTTTTCAAGTCATTTCACTTCTTAACTCATCAATTTTATACAATGAATTACAACACATTTTATTTACAATAAAATGTAACAAAATATACCCCTATACCACCCTCTAGGTCGAACACTACAAGGACATAGACAAAGGTTCTTTTTCTTCACTTACATGTAACTTACACATACAAATACATGTTTTCTTAAGTTTCCAACTTAATTTTTGGAGCATAAAGTCCCTCCAAAGCCCCACAAGGCCTAAACCTAAGGGCATATTTCATATAATTTTTCCCACTTTGGCATTTTCACTAATTTATCAAATTTCCACTTAATTCCTACACATTAAACCTTCTTAATACTTAAGATAAAATTTTTGCACAACAACCTACTCTTCACCTATGATGGCCGAACATGTAGAGGAAAGCATAGGATTTTTTTCTAATTTTTTTTTTTACATACATACAAATGCTTATTTTCATTTCTTAAATCCAAGACATCAAAGATTCATCATTAAATCAAAGTTTAATACACAATGCTTTCCTACCAAAACATACTCATAACTTTTATAACTCAAATCATCAAAATAATACCATGGAAATAGAGGTTCATTACCTCCAAAAGCTTATACAAGGTCTAGAAGGTGACCAACAAGCAAGACTCCACAAAAAACCCCCTTTTTCACCTTGGATGAATAGTAATCCGAAAATGGAGTGATGAATATCTCCCTCCACAAACGAAATCAGCTCAAATGGAGGGGTGGAATAGCTTCCTTGGACGATTTCCTATGAGATTGGTATATTGGGTGGAAGATTTGGTGGCTTAACCATGGAGAAATCAAAGAAGGAAGAAGACAACCCCAAACCCTTCCCCCATGGCTGCAGCTCGGTTTTGAGAGTGAGGAGAGGAGAGAGAAACTGATTTGGAAATGAGACTTAAGTGACTTAAGAAGGTGAGCACATGTGGCCTTTTACCCGGGTATTTTTCTTTCGCGTATTTTCACTTAAACTAACCCGGAACTAACTCAAAGCTACAAATATTTTTTTATTTTTCTAAAATCATTTATATTACTTTTTAATTCTTACAAAACAATATTCATAATTCACAGTATTATTTTTGCACCGTTTTTGACGAAATGCACTGTGAATCACTAATTGTACTTCATTTACTTATGAAACTTAAACTTATAAACTTATCATTTTCTTGGGCCTATATTGACTTGCTTGGCATATATTGGACTTTCTTATTCTTATTTCATCAATTATTTGTTTCTGGGCTCTACCGGTTGCTTAAACAACAGTACAAAATACCCGGTAGAAACACTATTCACGAGATTTTCACGGAAAGTGCCAGACTATACAATTTTTCGTTCTGAACTCATATTTGTCGTCAGAATTTTCAAATTATGTTCCTAAAATTATTTTGCTCATTTAAGCTCTACCGGTTAATTCACAAAACTGTAAATTCTCCGGCAGAACGCACTGTTCATAACATAGTCATGATTACAGTCAAAATACTCGAAATCGCTCACTCAATCTAATTATGGCATTTAAATCCTTAAATTAAATCTCTAACTAAGATTTTTCAGTTAGGGTCATTATAGTAGCCCATAACGGAAGAACTCCATAGTTAAGCGTGCTTAACTTGTAATAATTCTAGGAGGGATGACCTCCTATGAATTTTCTCAAGAAGTGTGTGAGTGAAGATAAAGCACGCTGAAAAGTCTCGTGCTATTGTTTGGGGATAGTAATTGATTCTTGAAGTGATCGGGCGAAACAAGTGGTATCAGAGCAGGACCTCTCTTCCAGTACGAAGTGGTTCGAAGACGAACCAGGCGGAAGCTGATGGGCATGTAACATCCTGAGAGCTGACGAGGGCAGTGAGTGATCG